TTGTTTTTTGTTTTCGTTTTCTTGTTTATTTCTTTTTCCTGGAACCTAAATTATAATATGATCCTTAGCCTTAGAATCTTTTAACTTTTAACATTTTCTTTCATAATGAAAAATGAAGTAATTTTTATGATGGTATCTTATTTTATGTTTTTTGTTCTTATTTTTGTTTTTCTTTTAGATAAAAAGAACATTAGTAACCTTTTTGTGTTGTTGTCCTTTTTTTTTCTACTTGCTTTCTATTCTTTATTTTACTATTTTAAGTCTCTTTAAAAGTTCATTAAACAATTTATGAAAAAATAAAATCAACGAGAACATAGAAAAATATAGAAAAAAATTTAAGGATCTTTTCTAAATTAAAGAAGATTTCTTGAAGCGATATATTTTTGGTACAGGGTGTATTCAAAATTATATTGAGATCAATTGGAAATTTTAAAGTTTTTAAAAAAATTTTGTGCTTAACATGTGTTATATCTTGTGTTCAAAAAAATTTTCAAAAACAAGAAGTATCGATAAATAATTTTCTATTATTTTTTGAATCAGAATGTATGATACATGACTACCGCGACGGATCTACCATATATACAAAGTAAGCATTTGCAAAGAGGCCGGGAAACAGGGACGCCATTGAAAATTTCTTTTCAAGTTTTTTCAGTACGTGTTTTCAAGATAATTTTTTCTTTCTGCTTACAGCAAAATAAACTTGATAACATGTGATTATATGCAAACATTACTAAATAAAAAGCTGAAAATTTAATTTTCAATATTGGTAATTGTTTGGAAAGCACGTAAGTCGTAGAATAAGTCAGAATTAGGTCTGCATAATTATATAGTATTTCCCAGTTTTCTTAACAAATTTATAAGAAATTATGCAAAGTTGAACATATAAGAGGAACGAAACATAAGATTATTTGCGAGCTAGTGTCGAAAGTCTAGAAGAACTATAGATAACAGAAGGCGAATAAGAGAATTAAATTTTGATTCTATCATTTAATTTTAAATCCTATAGGAAAATCTCATTAGATTCATTGAATATTTCAAAAGTTTCGCATTTGGTTTTGGCTTATACGATCATAATAAAACTTGTTCTAACTACTTAGTTAAGTGAAATAATTTAATGAAATTCCCATCATTAAATAAAAGAGATTCTATTTTAAGAATATGAATTTCTGATACCATTAATCAATCATCTTGTACTACTATGAATGAAAAATTTTTATAGAGTCCTTAACAATATACACTTTAATATTTTATTATATAGATAATATTTTTATAAAATTATTTTACTTTATATACGAAAGTATATAATGGTAGCTGATTGAAAAGAAGTACCTACCTACCTACGAGTACAATACACATACAAAATTTTCTAAGCAAAGAAATAAAATAGAAAAAAAATATTTGGGAAGAGAAATTTCAAAATAAAAATCCTGTTCATTTTGTAAAGATGAAAGAGAAAATTTATATATATATATATACATGAATGTATATGTATATAGAACCTCTCCGTCATAACAAAAAATATAGAAATGAAAAGTGGGCTTCAAAATGAAGATAGACATTTTGTTACTACTTGTATAAATGTTTTTTCATTAATCGTATACCACTATCTATTTCGCAATAGAAAAGAAACAAAATTTACGGAAACAAAAGAACCGAAAATAGACCTAAAACATTAAGACGAAAAGCACCATGTTTGAGTACCAAATCGCTTTCCATACAAAGAATATAAAATATTTTTAAAAGTAAGCACTTGCTTATTCCGTGTATAAACTAGAAAATTTAAGGAAATTCTTTGGTTTTTTTTTATACTTGCAAATGATCTTCCTTTAAATCCTTATTCTATTGTACATACAAACATAAATACATTCATATAAAATTTTAAAAATAATATTTATAAAAGAAGAGTCCTTGCTTTTTCATACTTACTTGAATGTCAAGTTTTTTAGGTTAAAAATTCGGAATAAGGGAAAAAATATTTTGAAATAAACATGAATTGTTGGCGTTTATTTTTTTTTGTTTTTTTTGATAGTTAAATTCAAAAAGCATGATAATTCTTTTAGCTTTTTTTTTTTAATATAATTTAGATGCCATTTTAATTTTTTTAATATCTCTTGACTTTTGTTGTGCATAATGAAAAACAAAAAATAGAGCATCGAGTCAAGTATACTAAAACAATTTCCGAGCATAAAAGAGCATTATAAAAACTATACAAAAATTTTTTTTTTAAATAAAATTACAATAATAAAATGCGGAGTAAAAAAAAGAAACAAAAGACTACAATTAATGCACATACACAATGTAGCAAGAACACAAGAGGAAAGCACCATATACAAGTAAAAAAAATTGAAAACCAAAATGTTTACTCTCTTATATAACAAATAAAAATTACAATAGTTATAAAATGAACTACACCTCTTATACTACATTTATAATAAAATAACAACAAGGATATTCAGCAGTTATAATGAAACGATAGATAAAAAAAAATCCAGAAAAAAAATATAGAAAATGAAGGCAAAGGAAAACAAAAAAAATCTAAAATAAAATTTTAAAAATTTTCAACTACATTTCATATTAAAAATTAAATTTTACACGTAAAAAAAATTTTTACTCTATAATTTGAAGGAGTGTACTTAAAACAACGCTTATTTGAATTAAATACGTAGAAAATTTGAAATTAAAAAAAATGTCGGACAAAAAATTAGCATTACTGAGCGAATCGATTAAGTCTAGGGATTGTAATCAAAAATAGTGGTCGACAAGTAGAGATGTGGGACACTCCATGCAAAGAATAATCTTATATTTGGTAAATACTTTGAAATATTTAAGAAGAATTACGACAGAAGGTTTAGGGTCCCTGAAAAAACCAACATGATGTTCGAAATGTTAATATTTTTTAATAAATTCAGGAATGTTCCGGGAAAGCACTAGAACAAAAAAATGAAAAAAAAAATGTCACTTCCCTTTTTTCAAGATGACAGAAACGCTAGATGGGTTAGCTGGCGTATAATATAGTCATAATCAAATATAATACAGATGAATAAAAACTAAACTAAACTTCTTATAATAAGATGACGAATTTAATTGGAATAAAATGAGAATTTTAATGAGCGAAAGGATTTTTGCTTTGTTATCTGACATCATTATAGAAAACTTAAGTTTTAACAAAGTTTTCGAAGTTTTAACAAAATTTTAAGTAAGTACTTTAAAGAATCTTGGATTTTTTTTTCTTTTAATTTTTTTCTAAAATGTCACTGTAAAAATTTAAATTTTTTATAATTCGACATAAAATTTAATTTCTTCACATTTTATTTATTGTAATTTTATTTATTTAACACTGCAGCAACAAGCGTGTTAAATAACAAATTTCTTTGTAGTCTGCTTATTATTCGAAAAAAAATTCACTTTATAAGAATTGAGAAGAAATGAGAAGAGCTATGTTCTTTAAGTTTGAAAGTATTGAATTTTTCTCTAAAATCTGTACATAGTACATGTATAAGGTTTGTTGTCTTCTACTGAAAAATTTTAAAACAGATAGCAACAAGGTAAAAGTTATGCATTAATTTTCTCGTCTTTGGAAAATTTGCGCCAAATGTCCTAAAATAATAAGAACTGAGTGTTGCTTTTGAAATTGAATTTGTTGATCGCTTCAATCGCAAACAAGGAATAATTTGCTTTCTATAACAATTGAATTTCTATAATTTTTTCAGATGTGCAAGAAAATTACGTTAACTTAAATTGATAAGTATTACTTATATCAAATTTCTTACTTAAATAAAAGAATTCTAAATTTAAAATAAAATTACTGTTCACGAGAATAGGCAGATTTGACCGAACCAACTTTGTAGTAACCGTACGAATGATAGGTTTCAAAATCTGTATGTTAATTAACACGCTGTTTCATACATAGTCCTGGTTTTTTATATTTATAGTGCTTTTACACATAACAATTTGAATAATATAATACTTGCTTGCACGAAATCTCGATATTATAGCTTCAATAATTTCTGAGATCTAGTCAAATAGTTTTTAAAATTGCAGGGCAGCTACCCGAATCACAACCTCGATCATATCTAATTTAAATAGGGTTCTGGCACTTACTACAATAAATCATTTGTAAAAATTTGGTGAGCTCAGCTTAATTAGTTTTTGAGTTTTTGTTGGGTTGGGATTGAAGGACGAACACAAGAATAGACATGGTTAACTTATTTAGAATCATTTCAATCAAAAACATTTCTATATTGCAGCTAATTTATAATACCCTTCAAACATACGTTCATACGGGTATAAAAAGAAATCAACTTACATTTTTAACTGTTGTTGTTTAAATCAAAATGTAAAACATTTAAGTATTTTAAAATTTTTTTAAATTTTTCTAATTTAATTTTAAATTGCCTAACTTATCTATCTATACTAACTTATCAACAATTAAATTATAAAAATTTCAACATCAATGTAATTTACTTTCAATATAATTTACTCACACACATCTGTACCTCTGCATGGTGTTCATTATGCAAGTAATTAAATATTCAAAGAACACAAATAATTTTTTTTAACAAAAAATTTAATAATCACATAATAGCTATAGCTATAAATTTAATTTAATAAATTTTTATTATATATTCATATTATTGCCTAAAATTATGCAAAAAAACCATAAAAATACAATTAGGATGCCAAAATGAGAAAAAATAAAAAAATTTTAAATAAAAAATATTTCTACTATCCTACATTAAACAAAAAAAAGAGTAACTACGTAAAAACAATGAGTACAATTGAAAGTACAAAAAGAGAAGAAAAAAATAAAAGAGTAAATGCGCACTAAAATGTGAACGTGTTACAATTACATTAAAGTACAAATGAGTGCTAGCAACTAGTTGCTCTCCAAAAAACATTTTAACATTACATATTTTTTTTTTTTACTGTTATTTTTCTACTTAAATTTATATTTTTTATTTTAATTATTATTTCGTTTTTTTTTTTGTTTTGTTAAATACCTTTACTGCAACAATTTCCGCATAACCTAAAGTTCCGCCACGTAGTGTTGTAACTGATCTCTTTAATCCCTTTAGGATAATAATTTTTATTTATTTTTTTTTTTGTTAGAAAATTTTGTTATTCTCATTTTTGTATTTTTGTATTTCATTTTTATTTTTAATTTAGTTTTAAAAGTGTAGACAAAAAATAAAAAAAAAAAAACGAGAAAAATATAAAATGGAAAATTATCATAAAAAACATAAAAAAAAAACAAATATTTTTTCCATTTTTATTTTGAATAAATGAAAATTTTACACAATAACAACAACAACAATAATGAAAAAACAAAAATGAATTTTCAAAAGTATAGAAACAAAATGTAAGCATCCGAAAAGTCCTTGGATATTTTTTTTTTAGATAAAAATTAAAATAAAATTTATTCTTTACATTTACACTCACATTTTGTGTTCTGTGATTAAAAGAGTTAAGATAGACAGATTAATTTTTTTTTTTTTTGGAAATTCGAAATTAGCAGAATGGCGTTATTGTGTATTTTGCTGCGAGAATGAGAAACGAGACGTGTTTTAATATTTAAGAGGGCGCGTGAAAAGTTCATATTTTTATATTAAAAGTATTCGACCTTATTCAATGTCATGAAAATAATGTAATTGGGGTTTTTTGACTTTTTATTTTAATAAAGTACGTACTGTTCACTTATGTCGCATAAAAAATAAATTTTGATATTGGATGAAACACAGAAAAAAACAAAATTTTTTTTTTTATATTGTTTTTGTTAAATTTAATTAAGATGATGTTAGCAGATATAAAGTTGTCATTTCGACTTTATTATAAAAAAAAAATTGGATTGTTAAAATTGTATAATGGTTAAATTAAAATATAACATTTGACCAGCACCGGTTCTACCATATATTCAAAGTAAGTATTTGCGATAGAGGCCGCAAAACAGAGGCGCCATTAAAAATTAAAAAAATTCCAAAAAGTTTTCCAAAAATTTTTTTCTTTCTTACACTGAAATTAAGTTTATTTCGGGGTTTTAATTTTGTATGCCTAATCTTGCACTCAATATGATGAAGGTGCAAGAAATTGATTTATTACGCGCACTTATTATCCAATATTTAGTGCCTATTGTTCATTGCTTCGAAAGCGTGGATCAGGGGAGCCGCACTTTTTGGAAACTGGTTAGGACGCTGAATTATTTAGAGCCGGGCCTGCATTTGATTAAATTTGAATATTTTAATGAAAAAATTTTTGGATTCTGATTTTAATTTCAGGTGTATTAAGAAAATTTCCACCAATTTCAAAGTTGTTAAATAACAATTTTTCGCAGAATTTTTTCAAAAACATTTTGAAAAATTATATCTGTCCCGAAAATTTTGAAATTGTTCTTAAAGTGTTTGGGAGTAAATTTGGTACTTGAAAAATTTTGGTATGCAAACTTCAAAATCGTATAATTTTCTAATAATTTTCTGAATACATTGAAATATTGGAATCATAGAAAAATTTACAAATCCCCTATAAATATGCAATTATCCAAGTTTATAGAAAATTAAAAATATAACTGTTTCATGGATATGAGTTATAAAATTCGATGAAATATTTTTTTTGGTACTCTAATTTTTTAATTAAATTTCAAAGTCCAGAACATTAAGTACTCCTTGACTTTTTCTATGTACAATTTTTGCTATATGCAATATAAAGGTGATATTTACATGAGGGAACAAAAATGTGCTGTAAAATGTTTGCACCTTAAAATTGCAATTATATACAAACATTTCTTTTAACGTGGATCTATGTGTCACAAAATAACATGGGTTATGGCTTTGATTTTTTTTGGCTTGTGGAAAATTGAAAAGGTCACAAATAATTTTGTATTTCATCAGAAATGAATTTATTTGTTTCTCTTAAGTAAGTGTAAAAATACCTAATTTGTTGTCAAGAATGAGTGCGTATTTTATTTTGTAAATGCCATTCAAAATTTATGAAATTCTAAAATACTTTTTATGTTTTTCAATTAAAAATTTCTAAAATTAAATGAAAGTGATTGAGATTAAAAATCTAACTCACACACTTGAACACCTTATTTATTTTTACTTTTAATTTAATTTTTAAGAATTTGATATTAATGGCCGTAATTTAATTTCGATTCTTATATAGAGTACTGCTCTTTGACTTTGAATGTGTGCAGCATAACTAGTCTGCATAATAATGTTGACTTCATATTTAAGTGTTATTTAACGTAATTTTATTAAATCCAAACATGCCAGGTCTAGAAGCTTTAAAATATAAGATAATTAGTTAATGTGGAAAAGTATACCAAGAAATTAAATAACGAAAATACTAAGAATGGCTGGAAAATTTTGTACGGAACAAAATCAATCAATGTACAGCAACTCATTTTATAAGATCTCATATGGAACCCGTGTCTAGTAAACAATTTTTCCAAAAACACACACGAGTACACCTTCCCAATATCACATCAAAAATCAAGGTCATCATTTGGAGTATAAACCTTGTATACGTAATATATTTTTTCCCTCTTTCTTAAAAATCCTTTTATATTAAATTTAAATCTAGATTGCAAAACAAAAAATTTCAATCAAAATGATAAAAACCTTTATCATCACCTAACATTCTTTACTTTCATCTAAAAAGGAAAATGTAAATTGACATTTAAATTAAATAATTTTCATCTAATTTGAAACAAATTAAAGTGAAAAATACCAATAAAAAAAAAGAAAAAGGAAAATAGAAAAGTATTCAAGGCTACTGCCATCACATTTGTGAAAAAATTCTATTAAAAAATAAAATGTATAATTTTTATTATTACAACATTAATTTTATCTCTAATCTTATCTCTTGAATTTCATTTAAAGAGGATATTTTTTTCTTCTTGTAAAATAAAAATAAATTGAAAATAAATAGAAAAGAAAAGCAAAATAAAACAAAGAAAAAGGATTGAAAGGTTGAAACTTCAAATCTAATAAAAATAAACACCTACTTTTCGTAAAGAATGCATTATGAAATTTTTATTCTTACGAACAACATACGGTCTCTCTTTAGAATATTGTAAGGCATACGCTATAGTTTTCTATTTACATATACACACGTGTCTGTACATAGAATTTGAGATTTCTTCAAGGATCAAAACATCAAAAACATTAAAAAAAAACAGCAAATAAATGTTATAAAAGAAGGACAAAATAAGAAAAACAAACAATAAAGAAAATTATTATAAAGAAGAACATATCCTTACAAAATTAGTATCCTTAATGAAAACTGATACTTATTATCCTTTTCACAGGATAACACATTTAAGATAGTATTTGAAAAGAATAGAAAAAATAAAATATTAAAAGAAAAATAAGGTGAAATTCAAGAGAAGAATTGAAAAAAAAAAAACAACAACAAAGAATCGTACAACGTTTTCTTCGTCATTCTCTTTTCTTTTTATTTTCATTTGTGTCTTATAAGAAAGGAAAATTAAAATAAAACATAAAAAATAAAATTATAATAAAAAGTTCCTTAAAGGTTAAAAACAGATAAAACGACTTACAAACAAAAGGAAAGCAAAAAAAAAACGAGAAAAATTAGAAAATAAAAAAAGGACTTTCATTTCGGAATTTGCTCTCACTCTCTCTCTCTCTCACTCTCTCTCTGAAAATTCAAATCAAAAGATAAAATTGACCGAAAGAAGAACAATTTCGACTTAAAACCAAACCAGAAAAAAAACAATAAAAAGAAAACGTTAAAGAAAAATTTAATTTTTTTTTTTTTTGGTAAAGATCGGTATTTAGAATCGGAATGAGTAAATTCCGAATTACAAGAAAAAATGAGAAAAAAAAAACAACAAATTGAGAAAAGAATGGAAAGAAAAAACAACAAATAAAATTTAAACAGAAAAATGTTCAGATTTTGTTGAAGAAAAAAAAAATTAAAAAGACCCAAAATGATCCGAAACCAAAAAGAAAAAAAAAACAAAAAGAGAAAAATAAAAAAAAAGAGTACAATAAAACAAATAAGAATGAAGTGAGAGAAAATTAAAGTGAGAAAAAGTACCTATACAAAATGAAGGAAAAAACCGAAAGAAAAATAAATACAAACGATTGTAAAGGAAAGAAAGAAAAACGAAGTTGGAAAAATTAAAAATCATGGAGAAAAAATTTTATTCAACATACCTTTACAGTCTGGAAAACATCGATCCCTGGATGACCCACATCACCTTTCTGACCTTTATCACCTGGTTTACCCTGTAATGTGTGCGTATAACAAGAAATACAAGAAAAGAAAACAAAAAAAAAAATAAGTTAAAATCATTTAAAAATGAACAACGAAAAAATGTTGAAAAAAAAAATAAGAAAAAAAGAAAAAAAAAATAAAACATTTTTTTCGATTTTTTTTTTGTTTTTTTCTGAAAAATTTCTTTCCTTTTTCTTAAGTGATTTTTTGATTTTTTAAGTTTTTTTATTTCTCCTTTGTTAACTTTAAAAAGTCCTTGATTTCTTCTTCTCTGGTTTTTTTACAAAAAAATTTCATTTTAGTTTTATGTTTTTGCTTTTTTTCCGAAAACAATCAAAAAAAAAAACACAAAAAAAAATCTGAAATTTTCGCTTGATTTTTTGAAACACGTTGAAATTTTTTTTTTTCAGTATTTACAAAAAAAATTCATAAGTCAATGGAGAAATTCATCCTTTTGTTTATTTTGAAGATTATAGGGTTTTAAATTTTCAAATTTTATTTTCAATTATTTGAATTTAATAAAATTAAAAAAATATTATGAATTTTTAGCCAATTGTTGTAAACGGTTGCAGTATACAACCAACAATTAATTACAACCCCGTTGTAATTTGCAATTAGCGTAGTGGTAATTACAGGAGAAATATTATAGGAGCTTCCATGAGGTATTTACAGTATTCTTATTAAAAAAATGTTTAGAAAATGGAAAAACTATTAGTCGTAAAGACCTTTATTTCAATTTAAGCTCTAATTAAAGGTAATAATGAACATATTTCGAATAATATGCTTAGGTTACGAAACCATTTTAGATTTTTATTTATAAGTATTTACAATAAATCTCAAATAATCATGAAGTATAATTATGATATTTGAAAATCAGCTAGTTTTTCTTAAAAATTTCCAACAAGATGAATACTTTGTTAATACTTAGAATGTTTAGCAATGATTTAACGAGAAATTTCATTTTGGACAGGTTTGCAATTCAAAAATTTATCAAATTATTTATAAATTCCATTTAACGGGAAAATAAATACAGTGATAAAATTAATACAACTGCTACTCGAATTTTCATTAAATTTTAATTGAATCAAGCAATAATCCATAAGGAATGTTCGATAAATGGGTAAAATTACCCTCACATATGTTAACAATAAATTCTTGCTTAGAATTATTTTGAAATTTCAAATTGATTAATCAAAAATAATATCTTCATATCATTTAATTAGAGACCTTAAGAAATTACTATATAAACCTTTTGCTTATAGCAATACCATCATTGCTCTTAAGATCCTTTTAACAATAAATATACAATAAAATCGCGTAGGATACTACGTCTGTATTTTTTTCTTTTTTATTGAAATAAACGAATTCTTTACTCCGACAACATTCAAATATTTTCATTTCAAATCTAAAAGACTATAAAGTCAAAAAAAAAAAGTTTTAATTTTTTTTTTGCTTCTTTTATACTTTTTTGTTTTTTTACAAGTTGTTATTCTCAAAAGCAAATAAAAAAGTTTGAAAATTATTTTTACTTACCGGTTCACCTTTGGGACCATCTAAACCAATTGGACCCTGTTGTAGAACGAAAAAAAAAAAATAGAAATAAAAATTAAAAGAAAAAACAATAATGTTAACAGAATATAAAACACAAACAAAAAAAAAAAGGCAAAAAATTAGCAAAAGAAAGAAAGAGAGAGAGAGAGAAAAAAAAAGGATAATATTAGTTAAATATAAAGTATTAAGGGATCCTTAAATTAATATTTACAGTTACATACATATATATGTATGTATATATATATATAAAAGTATATTGAATGTTGGAACTTGGAAATTGTGTGCATTGAAAGAAAAAAAAAAGAGAAAAAGTTTATTATTTGAATTTTTTCTCTCTCTTTGTCTCTCTCTCTCTCTCTCTATCGTTTTCCTTTTGTTAACTTAATAAATTATTTAAGATAAATTGTTTCAAATTGACTTTAAATAGGAAAAGTTTGTGTATTATTTTTTTTTTTTTATTTTCAACCAAATCAGAGAGAAATTAAACAATAAAAAAAAATAAAAAAGAGAAAAGACCGAATTATACCAATAAATGCCTACGTGTTTGTTAATATTGTTATATATGTAGTAGATGTATGGGTATGTAGAAATGTGCATGTACAAATATGCTTTGAAATTGTTATACTTTATTTTGATTGATTACTTGTTACATTATACTGTAGGTTACTTGAGAATGTATGAATGTATGTACAATGTCTTAATATTAATTATAATGAAAGTAATTTAGTTATAAATAAAAAATTACAATAAAATGAGAAACAAACATAAATTAGAGTAAGAGAATTAAATTCATAAAAATGTGTAAAAAGTTGTTATAAAATAATAAAATAAAAATTATATTAAAAATTAAATAAAATTAATTAATAATTAAAATAGAAGGTGTAGGTAATCAGTATTTTGGTAGCTTTGACACAATTATTCAAGTGGTGTATATATAAGCTTAGCTTGTGTAAGGGTCTAAAAAAATATCCCATAAAGTCATCAAGTCATCAAACTGTGATATATTTTTTAATACAACTAGAGTAACTGGTGTTCAAATAGTTTTCATATTCATGTGTTAGAGCAGAATATTATAAAATATTTAATAAGTAAGAAAGTTCTTCTTTAAAATTTTATGTTAAATAGGAAATTTTAAGTATAATAATGTAAGCTCTTATATTTAGCCCATATATCGGACTAAAATTTCTTCTTATTACGAAAATTAATGTTATACAATATAGTTAGAGAATAGCTATGTTAAATGATTATGTACGAGATTATATTAATAATGCAATGTTTTGTGTCGCACTATTTCGATATTGCAACAGTGACTGTTGTACAAACTCTCATAATGTCATTCAATGCACTGATTGAAATACGATAGTTTGCTGCGGCAAATAGTGATACTGACAAATATTGAAAAATTTCGGAAAATTAAATAATATTGTCGCTGCAACATGCGATTACAATTTAATAACAAACTTTTTTTTTTTTTGATCTATTGCGAAATAAAATTTGAAATAAAAATTCTGAATAGAAAAATATTAATAGAACAAGTTGAAATTGAGTTGGAGCTATACGAGTATTCAATAAGGAAAATATTGGATCAAATTTACTGTGCCTATCAGATCAATGTAATTACGACGACGACACTCCTGCGATGCTTTTTCCAGCACTGTGAGCGCTACACATAATTTCTGAATAATGTTTATTTTTTTTTAGTTGTATGGTCAACCAAATCCTACTAGATTCCCATTTTATAAACAGTTTTTCAATTATATTATTTTTTGTATTTCGGATGCTAATAATAAAAATCTAATTATGCAAAAAATCTAACTATGATTTTTTTTGAATAGATTATTGAAAACTAATTAAATTTATTTATTAGAATTCATCTTTGAACAATCAGGGCTGCAGGGAACTAAAGATATTGCTTAATCACTTAACCGAACAAAATGTATAAACGGAACTCAGTGCTAAGCAAGAATTTACTGTATTGAAGGAAGAATGTCAAAATTTCTTTAAACAATTTCTTTGAAATTTTCTAGAACAATTTGTTTGAAATGTTTATATTCTATAGTTGGAAATATGTGAGCAATAATCTAGTTTATATGAAATTTCAATGAAAGCAAATTTTCAATTTAGAATAATTGCAGTGAAATTTGAAGTCCTTCACACACAACAATGATTTGTTTAACTGACGTTTGATTGGAGTTGGAGTTGGGAGTTGTATTATATTTACGACTCGGCTTTTAAACAAAAACTCTCTAAATATTGGGATCATCATTGTTCGGTTCGAAATATTTTGTAAATATTAAAGCATTTTTTCTTTGTTAATCGGTGCACCATACTATTCCTCTTATATAATATGATATTTGCAATGTATAGTGCTATTTAAATGTATGGTATAATTATACACACGACAATATTAACAGCTTCATCCATTTTTTTCTTGCTTTCTATTTTGCTATTATTTTCAATTTTATATTAAAGCACCCATACATTGTATATTAAGATTACTGTAAGCTTCATTTGAAAACAACTCATTCGGAATTATCTATGCTTTATCTTATAAATAAACTTAATTCATTAAAGTTTATACTATTGTAGAGTAAAGAGAAAGCAAAAAATAATATACATATGTAGCACCATCAAGTTAAGAGCAATCTTTAAGTTGCTTAATGTTTAACTTAAAGTAATTGTTTTCATTCCTTTTATTTATTTTTTTTACATACGCATTTAAAGTGTACGATCATAAGAAGAAGATATTATTTTAAGGAACATGTCATGCATGTTGATATTAAGGAATTAATTTCTCCCTTCATTTTATGTATATATATATATATTTTTTTTCTCCCATTTCATTATTAATTATTTGAAGTGTTTTTCTAATATTTCTTCAGATTAGAATGGGTAATTAGAGAAAATGTTTAATACTTCAAATTAGTTTTTAGCTATGAAGCCCACAAGACTATACGAAGTATAAGGAATATAAGTACAATGTATTCCTTATACTTCGTATAGTCTGTATGTAAAAGAACGTCAGGAAGAAAGAAGGCATTTTATCTTATGTTTTATTATATAAGAAATGGTTGTAAGGAAATGAAAAATGTTCAGCATTATGTTTGTTAGTGTGTGTTTGTTTTCCCAAAAATTTAATTCTTTAACATATTATATATGAACGTATTAATATAATAATATAGAACATGTAATCAGTAAGCATAGAAAGTTTCACAATAATATAATTTTCTGTTATATGTGGGAGGAAAATAAAAACAATAATGGGAACAATAAAAGAATTTATTGGAGAATAAATTGAGGAAAATTTTCGTATATGAAAAATGTATTCACACATATTTATAAACTTGGTATATAATCAAATGTTTTATTATCCTTTTAATAATCACATATGAATTTTTTATTAAATAAACATTGAATATTTCAATATCCGTTTGGGATATGCTCATATAATGTCCAACATACATTGATATAAAATAATTTTAAATGTGAGACGTTCTAATTCAATTATAGATAGTGCTGTTGAATATTAAAAATTTAAGGATGATTTCCAATTTGTGCGTGAAAGAACTAATGAAAATAAGTATATAAAACCTTAACCCTTTCGACGCGGCTGGCATACACCAGTAAAGTGCAAACATCCAACAACACAAATTAAAAATCCCATTGTATTTGGTTTTTTGTTGTATTATTTCGTTTTTACGTGATTACAAATAGTTTGTTTTTTTATAAAGGTAATAGAATCCCATATGTGAAACATGTGCTAATTAAACTATCAAAAAGCTGGTGGAAAGAGTTAAAAATCATTCGAAATATCTAACAAAATGCAATTTTCTTGTATAGTTTCAGATTAGTTAAAAACGAACCAAAATTTTTGCTACCAAATCATATAGTACTCAGTTTAAGATTAAGCCATAACGATAATTTGTTTCTAAACTGATGATGGTCTTGAATTAAAAGTGGTTGAAGATAATGAACACGTATTCCAACCCGATTTTATTCCAAATATTTGCCATTTAAGAAATTATGTGCTTTCAAAATTGTACTTAATGTAATTTAAAGTGGACAACATAATTGAGAACATTGTAAAATCTTTCAATATTTCAGATATAATTTGACATTATAAAATTCTATTCTCAGAATCCTAAATTCGGACGAGTTACCATATACACAATCAACACTATTTTATGTTCAAATTTAACTAAGATTTTAATAAATAAATATTTTTCAAGTTAATTACCACATCTATATAAATGTAATTTTGTTGTTTATTAGAAATAAAATATGAAATAAATCAATTGTATTATCTATAAGAAAAGATGGAAATAAATTAAGCTGAAAATTTTTTAAGGACAACAATTAATATACAGAAACACATACGCCTACAATCATCTTGTTTTTTCACATAATATAAAATTAAGTAGCTAGAGCTATGTTCAAAACTATATAGACATTGTTTAGTGATAATTTTATAAATTATATTTTTATGTAGTTTATTATGGATCTATAAATTAAATTAAGTCTGAAATATGTTCATATACTATGTAATATTTTCATATATCTATTAAAAATCCACATATTATAGAGTAATTTTGGAAATTTATTGGTCCTTATATTCAATACATTAGAAACATGACAGTATCCAGACAACACTATATATACACATATATTAAAATATATTACATTAGTCAGCAATAATAAGACAAATGGGAACAAAATATTACTATGTTACCCTCCTACACATCTATTATTATTTTATAGGTATAGTCAGTATAATAATCTGGAAAGTGTTTTTCTTTATACAGGATTCACAATAAAAAAAAATTATAATTCATTCCTATTGTAATTTGTTTTGTTTAAATCCTTAATAGTGGCAATTAGTAAATTTTATCAAAATTTTTAAAATAAAAGCTGAAAACTGGTGAGAGCGAAACTTGGTCGATTGAAGTTTTGAAATTTACATGGCTCTGAATAAAATTTTTGAAATATAAATTTTATGTATATTAAAAATTTTCACAAATAAGGGAAAGGAAAGTCTTTTTAAGAGAATTTTCATTTATTTTTCGGATTTTAATTAAATTCCACTATAATTATACATAGAATGTCTGAAACTCAATTTATGAATTGCCGAAGAAAGCAGACACCATTTCCATAGCAAGAAATAATGAACCCAAACGTGACTCTTTTTTTTAGCCTCTGGGGGAAGACAGTATTTGCAATGCAAGAAATAATGAACGCAAATGATATCGTGTCTCAATTTCCGAGACTCTTCGAACAGGTGAATTAAAGCAAATGAAAGATTTGAAAGCAAAGATTTTATGAAATTTAGTTGCTGTGATGCATTGCAATAAAATGAGAATTTTCCATTACTAAAAGCAGCCTGTTTGGCTCTGTTTAAAATACGTTCTTAATTAATTATCAGTAAAATATTAATTAATTTTGTGATCCTATACTCAAATAGGAATTATTAATAAAGGAAAACGTCTTAATATATTATTTTGCCACATTACTTTGTGCGTATCAACTAGCTCGAACACCCTATTAATAATGTTAATTAAAATTATATATAATGCGTTATACTAATAAGTGTCATTGAATTTAAGAAAAAGTAATTGGTGCCATTGAAAAATTTTATGTGTTTCTAAAATTTTAATTTGGAAATTTTTGTGCTGCACAAAAAAGTAAGTCATTTAGTAAAGCACATAACATGGTGAAGGCGTTTTGAAATTATGGTGCATTTTTAAAAGCTTAAAGAAAATATTATTAAAAGGCAATTTAAATATCATTTTGCTTCATTTTATTTTATAGAGAAAAGTGCACAAAAAAAATAGTATTAAAAAGCATCAAAAGTGTATAATAAACGAAACACCATCAAATTATTATTATTCTTTTAAAAGCTGAAGAAGGACGTTAAAAAAAAAGTACACAAAAAGTCTTTCAAAATTTTTTTATTTTTTATTACATAGAGGGATTTAGAAGCTTGTTTTTTTTGTCACCAGCACCATTACAAAAATAAAAATTCTCTTACCATAATTCCACGATCGCCTTTTTGTCCTTTTACAGCCTACATTGAATTATTATTGTTTTTTTTTTGTTTGTTTGTTGCATTGTTTATTATAATCACACATATTAGTATGTCAATATATGTATAAACAAACAAAACAGGATATATGGAAAACATTGATGATTATATGTGATACACAGGATATATTTTGTGTGATGGTTTTTGTTTTTATTAAATAAGTGTTTAAATTATGTTGCGTACGAGTGTATATTTCATATTTTTTATATATATAAAAAAATATTTTATTATTTATGTATAGCATTAAGAATTGATATAAAAAAAATAAAATAATCATCATCGTCATCATTGTCAACATTGTTTGTCATTACCATGGTCGTCATTTTATTGTTGATGTTGTTGTTGTTGTTGTTGCAAAAAGAATCATAAATTTCATAATACAAACAATAAAAATGTACAAAATAAGCAGGAAAAAAAAAAATGGAAGAAAAAACAAAATAACAATAACGAAAAGATTTAATAAAAATATTTGTAAATATGTGTGTGTGTGTGTTTGTATTTGAATACAATAATTTTTCACTATATGCATGTATGTATAGAGGGCATACTTATATTATTATTGATATAAAAACCAATAAAGATAATAAAAAGCGAGAAAAATTCGCCTTAACAGGGAAATAAAAATACAAAGTACAAAAGAAAAGCAGGAAAATGAAAGAAAATGGAAAAAGAAAATCTCAAAGGCAATAAAATCGTTTTTAATGGTTTATTAAGCCATAAGGATATTTTTATTTTTTCATTTTTTTTTTCACCCCTAATTCGTCCTTTTTTTCTTTACTTTTTTTTTGTTATTTTATTTTTTTGGTTTTTGTATTTTTTTCCACTTTTTTCTTTTTTAATGCCACACATTTTGTGTACATATAGGTTATTATTTATTTAAGTGAAAATCTATCTAATCAGCTAACATTAAATATATACACACAAGAGCACATACACGCGTGTGTGTCTAAGAAAAGTTAGCGTTAAAAATATACTGGATATTAAACAATAAGATTCGTTTACATTTCTAATAATTTTTAAAGGCGTTCATAATAAATTGGAAAAAGATGGATTTTAACATGGTAAACTTCTGATGCTGTGTGTCATTTAGCGTCTTTATTTTAACATTAATTAAAGACTCCGTCATTTAATGCTTTATCTTCCGAACTTATGTTAAAACGCCTGTTAGCGTCTAATTATTCTGAGTAATTGTGTTAGAATGGTATCAAATTTGATATTAGATTTTGTTTAAACAAAACTGTTTTCATGGAAAATATCAAGAGTAAATCTTGGGCACTAAGCATTTTTGGAAAATGTCATTATTTTTCTAGGACAATTGGACATTTTACTAAATTAATTTAAGAGAAAAATGTAGTTTGTTTACTAGTTTCCAACTGCAGAATGGACTACAAATATTTAATGAACTGCGATAATGGCAAACTTAAGAGTTTTAAGAAGGCTTAATAGTCTAGTCATCTCTTGTAATAGTATCTGGTAATATTCATTATTTTTGGTCAAATCTGCGTATTTATGTCATGTTGATTCCACTGTCAATAGGTATCGACTTAATTTCCACTTGCTACTGGACTCAATTATAAAATGTTATTATGTAGGATGTTTTAAAATATTAAGAGAAATTCAAAATTTTTAGAGTTTTGAAGTATTCGGAAAATAATATTGAAAATGAATCTTTAAATAAATCTTCATATATTTTATTGCTAACAATTCAATATTTTTAATATCACTTTATTAATAACAGTTATAAAAATGTACTTTTCTTTTTCTCTCTCACTCTCTCTCTCTCTCTCTCCCTCTTTCTCTTTCAGTTTTTATTAAATGAGAGGCGGATAAATGGACATTATAATATAATATTTTCTCTTATTAACATCCCTTAACACAATATAATATGGTGGCAATAAACAAGAATTTCGAAGATGTAAACGATTTTCGTATATAACATGAATTTATTTTTATATTATACTCGTATATACTAGTTACAAAAGTAAGAAGGAAACAAAACAAAAAAAGGACATCATCTCATCGATCACAACATTATTTGTACTAACGTATATTGTTTACATAAACGTATATACTTTCATGTTTATTATATATAATATGTACCAATATATATACGGGAATATATTGAATAAAATCCCTTCAGAATAAAATATTACAAAAAAAAATGGAAAATGTTAAATAACTTTGCATTTTATATGTTTATTATCACGATGAATGCATATACACCATAATATATCTATATGGAATTATTTAAATATGAGTGTATAACAATTGTACCTACATATAACGATATAATAGAAATATGTATAATAAGAAATATATACTATACAATAATAATATTTGTATTAAGTGTTTGGAATGCGCAATCAAATCAATTTATTGCCCAATGATTTTTCTCTCCAATTAATTTAACGCATCATTTCAGCTAATTTTTTTGTCATTTTAGAATTTTCCGCGTCGGAAATAAAAACATCTTTCGTTTTTATTTTTACTACCATTTATACAATATAACATACACTATATAAGTGTTACTTATAAACATTATTATATATGCTGTATAAGGTACTTTGTCTACATAAAATTATTTATGATTGATATTTGTTTGTGTATACAGACATACAAACATTACATGTATATACTCATTCCATATAATTCGTGATTGAATTGAAATGCTCTTTAGAGCGAAATTATTATATTATGCTAAAATATTTTTGGGAATACCATGGAAAAATTTATAACTCTTCCAAGGAATCAGAAAAAAAAAAAATTGTACTTTTTATTTTTTTTTTATTCAAGATTTAATTTCGGGTATACGCTTGTTATTTTCAGATTCTGCTAGCTAGCTATTGCGAAATAATATTTTTCAAATTAAAATTTTTTCTCTTTCTTTCTTTGATTTTCTTGCTTTATATAAAAAAAAGCTCTTTAAAATTGAAAATTTAATATGAATTTATAATTTAATGAAAATTTGCATATTTTAAGGCGAATTTTTTGAATTTTAAATTTTTTGATATTTTCTTCAAGAATATTATTATTTAAGGATAAAATTGTGTATTTATAACAAAAAAAAAAGTAAATATTTCTACCGGAATTCCATTCTTTCCAGGATAACCAGGTTGACCCTATAATGTCAAATAGAAATCAAAATGCAAAATACAAAAACAAATGAATTACAAAAATATTTTGAAATTTTAATTTTTATATGAAAACATTTTTTTTTCAAATTCGCAAAAAAAAAAATATTAATAAAATCATTAATGGCACATAATTTTAAAAAAAATTAAGAGTATGAAACAAAAAATGTTTGAATGAAAATGAATTCCATAATGTTTTCATAATGCTTGAATAATAATGAAATGGAATGAACAATTTTTTGTACTTGATGAAATGAAAATGAATCTTTCAAATGAATAATTTCTAAATGACAAAATAAATTCTTTGTGTTTGTGTAAAATGTAGTATGTGTGTATATGTTTCGGAAACTGTTCAATTTAAAGCCAAAAAAAATATCAAAATTTAATTAAATTTAGAATTTTGAATGACGTGCCTAATATTATAGGAACATAATATCAATACATAATATCAATTTTTAGAAATATTCTAAAGTTGATAGCATAATTGTTTAAGCGACTTCAATAAATTAAAAATCAAATTAAATTATTTTCTGATTTCAATGTCAAAATATTTCTTTCTTCATACATATATTCTAAATTTAAATAAATTTTGTAAAAATTTAATTAATTTCTAAAATAAAATGCAATATATAAAAAATATTTATTGGAATGACTGAAAAATGAGTGATTAATTCAATATTTTGCTAATTTCAATTCGATAAAATAATGAAAATTTGAAAAGTGTGTCCTTTGAGAAACTATTATTTTGTAGTTCATAACATAGTCTCCCAATTTTTCCATTTCAAAACAATAATCTAATCTAGGCTAAATATCTAGGCTAAATATAAGATCTGTATCAAAATATTGCTCTGCAATTTGTCATGTAAGTCCTCTAACACTCCCTAGATCAGCTGACAGCCATTACTATAACTGAATTTTTATTATATATAATATACAGGGTGATTCTGAAAGGCATACAGGGTTTTATAGAAGTTATAAATGAAAAATGTTAAAATTTAGTTTTTTTTAATGAAAATAACAATTGTTAAAAAATATCTTTTTGGAGAGACTATTGCAATCAAAAATCAGTGATAGTTGATAATTAAAGCACTAAGAATTAATACAAATCAAAAATAGTGGCAATTTCTTCAATTTTTATATTTTACTAGGGTGTGTTGAATATTTTACAGATAGAAATGATTTATGTACTATACTCCTGTACTCCTGTTCTATAACGTACTTTTTAACATTATTTTATTGATTAAAATCAAAGCTTGAGCAGCTGACAAAAATCATTGAAAAAAAAATTAAAGTTTCAAAAAATTCGTACGAAATAATCGGAAAATTGATTTTTTTCTAAGTTCCAATATTTGGTATTCTAAAAATACATAAAATACAAAATTAGGTACCATGTTGCTTTCAAGTTTTTTACCATCCCTTGGAGAAATTGTATTTTTGAAGCTTACAATCTCTTTCGGAAGGGACACTCTAATCAAAATAGTCCGAACAATTAAAAATTTCGTGAAAATTCGTTAAAATCACTGCAACACGGAAGTCGGCACGAAAAAGTTTTACCTATTTTTGACCTTCTAACCAATTGTATAATTATGTTATTGTGTACCCTTCTGACTCACCCTGTATTTTTATGTTCAACCAAAATAATGAAATTTAAGTAAATTTGTATCTTATTTAAATAAGTGCAATAAAATTATGCCTCCAATGAAAGTGAAATTTATTATTTTTTTTAGGTAAGAACCTTGAATTTAATTCTTTAATTGGATGAGGTAAAGAATAATATATTGAATTTGAAACAAAAATATTAAATGAATAATGAATTCAAGTATAAAATTAATGAATTTTATTAATTTCATTCATAAAATCTTTTTGTTAATAAATCATCGCAAAAACACAACCTCTTCAATATAATTATAAAGAATTTTCTTTTTTTAAGGCGATCCATCTAAAATTAATTATACATAACCAAAAATACATAATTAATAATATAATCTAATCAGTTACACTTGACTATCCCTTTAATAATAAAATAATATTGAATTTCTAAAATGATTTCATTCTGTATTTTAACAAAATTAAAGCAAATCAATTTTTATTCCACTATCGCCTCCCCACTGCCCAACTCTTAAAATATAAAAATTATACCGATATGGTTTCATTTATAATTTATTATCGTGTGTACAGTATTGTGTGACCCTCTTATATTTGTAGTTAGTTTACTATATAATATTAATGTTTTCTCAAAGTAAACACAATTAATCACTTGACGAGCTCCACACAGTTCTAATAATAATTATTATTTCCTTATATTGTGGTTTTGTATGAATGATTCAAGCTACTGCAAAAAAAAAATGATTTTTCACCCTCCATATTCTTCATTCTTCTTGTTTGGCAAACATTGAATAAATCACTCATTTATACATATATAGAAATAAAGCAAAACTTCCTATATCCTTTTTTTTTGACATCATATATTCCTTTTTAAAGGATATTAGGAATACAAATATGAAAAAAATTGAAAAAAATAGAAAAACAATCATTATAATTTACCGCTGGTCCTTGTTCTCCTGAATCGCCTTTTTTACCACGTTTTCCTCGTTTTCCTGGTGGTCCCGGTGGTCCTGCAAGGAAAAGAATAGAAATTAAATTTTAAATGTATATTATATATGTGTGTGTATGTGACTACATACGAGTATTTTAATATAAAATTGTGAATTTTTATTCTGAATGGATTTTTTATACCCTGCACTTCGTGAAAGGTATATTAACTTTGGTATGGAGTTTGTAACTACTTGAAGGAGTCATCTGCGACATATATATATATTCTTGCTCAGTGTAAAATTCTGCGTTGATTTAGACATGTCCGTCCGTCCGTCCGATCGCACGATCAAAAACGAATAATGCAATCGACTTTCACAAGTTGCTTCTTTTGTGCCAAGAACGAACTCTATTGTTATTGGACCAATTCGGACAACGGGTTCGGGTAGCTGCCATACAACTCAAAGAGTTTATTTTAAATATTTCAAAAACTAATAAAGGTACAAATATAAAATTTTGAATACATGTGTCCAATTATATTCTACATATGCTGTAAAAATTTTAATGAGATAGCTGCACCGGTTCGGGTGGCTGCGATACAACTCCAAAAGCAAATTTTTTATATTCGGCAAAATAATAAAGTCAGATTCATGAAACTTAGCAGTTGTGTGTCCAATTATAGGTCAAAGATATTTCTGAAGTGTTGGTGGAATTGCTTGACAGGTTCGAGTAGCTCCCATACAACTCCAAAAGCTAATTTTAAATATTTGGAAAAATAATAAAGTCAGATTCATGAAACTTGGTAGTTGTGTGTTCAGTTATAGATCAGACATATCCGTGAAGTTTCTATAGAATGGTTTCACAGGTTTGAGTAATTGCTATACAACAATGAAAGGTGCAGGGTATAATTCAATCGGTTCATACCGACTGAAACGTTTTTACTTGTTTTTATTTTAAAAGAGAATTTTATTAGTTATAAATAAAAGAAGTTTTTAATCGGAAAATATTAATGTTGCATTTCCAAAAGCTTATATAGTTCTTAAAAATCACAATTTGAAACTTATAGTTTCTAATTGCTTTTATATTTTCATTTCCCACTCAGAAGTTCATAATTAAATAATATATTTTTAACCTTGTTGTCAAATCTTATCAGACTTAGCGATTTTAGTGGCGGACGATTCATCATCCCCAAGGCAATCATCACTTAACAGCAAAGAGTCATTAATAATTTTTATGAGAAACCATCATTGTTCAATGGGACGGTGTTGGTAATGAATTAGAGAAATGGGAAGTTGAATGAATATTTTTTCGTTTTCACTATTCTTCCATAATTTTATAATATTAATCTACTTCTGCTTCACTGAGCATGTAGAGTAAATGTAGTTGTAAAACAGCATATAGGGTAAATGTAGTCTTAACTGCAAAGAAAAATTTAAATTTCCAACCTAAAACCCGCAAAAATAGTCGACCATTTAAGTACTTGAAATAGAAATTCTTTTTAAAAAATCAATTAAAGTGTTACAGATTAATAAAGCTGAAAAGTATTTGAACCTTCTTTCAATCGATTCATTCAAATTTCAAGTATCAATTCCATTGCATCCCTATATTAAAATATTGAATGCATAATTTTTAAATTTAAATTGACTAGACAAAGTATAGTTTTTTATTGTATAGTGAAAAAAACAAATCTAAATATTAAAAACACAATAAAATTTTTAGGTCTAAATCACGTCGCGTAAAATCCACTTTTAAAAATGGGATGAAGAAGTATAAAAAATAGCACTTTGGTCTTGATTTTTATTTTCTATTTCATACAAAATTGCATACAAATACCAATATATCTTTATACACTCCCATTTCTATTTGGGGACCTTTGTGAATTACTAAATCGATATTTATCTTTAGCATATTATGGTATAGGACACTTTAATACATCTATACATACATAATAATTTTTTGTAAAACTGTAGATATGAATGAATCTATTTTACATTTATGTATGTATGTATTTATATATATGGTTACTAAATAAATGACCTCAGGGAATTGAATGAAATTTGTGCGGTTTTAAAAAGCATTTGTTTACCATTATATTTTTTTTTTTCATTCCAAATCCCTCACTTTTGCATAACTTTCAAAATATATTATGTGCTTATTTTTATTATTGTTTTTTATTTTATTTAGTTTTCTATTTTAGCGTTTTATTATCGTGATGTGCTTCTGGTACTTTTGCCATCTAAAAGTTTTGATATTTATATATGCGGTATAATAGTGTTTATATAATATTTTTATTATGTTTCCAAACTAATGAAGGATTTATGAGATTCATATAATATATTATATTGAATGTGGTCTATTCACATAGGTATTTTTATTGTTATTTTAGAAAAAAAAATTTTTTTACACATCTACATGCCAACATATTATACGACCATTTTGCATATATACAAAATGTGCTTAGAATGATCATGATTGCTTTAACTGATAACTATTTATGAGTAAAGGTTTAATTGCATAAATGTGTGTGCAAATAGGAAAAAAATATATCTAGTGCAATTATAAAGTTATACATAAAATATTTCAAATATGGTTCATAATATGTTTTTGCAAAATTTACATTTCCTATTTATGTATAATTGTGAAACGATGTGTTGACAGCACAGAAATTTAATCTATGTGAGGCGATCCAGGTAAAATTCTAAGAAATCAGACCCGAAGTATTAGAATTACGGAGTTTCAATTCAGATACGTAAACGCTCTTATTTTGATCTGGATTTGAAGGCTTAGAATTCATTTCGGAATTGAATACATTCGGGAAATTACGAGTAGTGTATATAAAATTAATTTTTGTAAAATTTTCCAAGTTTTATTCCAGATTTAGAGCTAAAAATCAAAAATTTTCACCCATTTTCTTATTTCTCTTTCATTGCTGTTGGTCACCCCGCTTTTATTAACATAATTGGTTATCACCTGGGCCTGCAAAGAGAACCAATATTTGAAATATCAAATATTTTCTAATAAAAGCATTCTTCGGCAGAATCAGAATTTATTTTGCTGCCGTGAAGTTTACGCTTAACAACAATTCATACTGAATCTTCTGTTTTATGTAAAATTTTCTTTTAAATCTAATAATTCTTAGTTAACAAAAGCCGTTTATGATTTCAATGGATTTAAAATGTTTGATCAGCGTTTAGGAGGTATCTCATAATTGAACAGACCAACTTCATATTATTTGCATACACCAGCTGTATTAGTTATATTTTTTTTCGGTTACTTATAGTTTTCAATATGAATATTGTGGAGAAATATGCTAAAAAGTGAAAAAAATATTAATGTGTTCAACAAATCTTTCATATTGGTATCCTTAAATGTCATGAGACTATCATAATATATAAATCGATTCGATTTTATGTTAGTTTCCATTGGCAAAATATAGAGATGATAAAATGATGTTGATTTTAAGGTGATTTTTATTGTTGCAGGTGTTGGGTAAAAAAAAAAGTTTTTTATCTACATATTTTTTATGCTTTTCTTTAGTGTATTTCTTTTTAGGCTCGAGGATAGATGGTTTTTTTTTGTATGCGTTCTGCATACAAATCATATGAAAATTTATTGCAATCATTATTGTATCCATGATGTTTCCTTGATAATTATTTATTATTTTTGAACTTTCATTTTAATGTTAAAAGGAGAGAAAAAAAAGAATATTTTTTCCATTGATACTATGATCTCCTTTATTTGATTCAGCTGTATTATAACCAATTTTTATCAGTTTACAATAAAAATGTCATCAATGAAAAATAACATTAATTGCGGTTGCTTCAGTTAAGTAATGTTAGAAAAATAGCTTGCGGAGCATATATTGTGGGCAAATATGTGTGTATACTACCTAGTAATCAAATTAGGATTAATTTCTATTCACGAATATAATTTAAATAATTGCATATTTTACGGCTAAAATTATTGCATACTTTAAGGCGTACCTAAGTTTTAGCAAAAATTTTCATTTTTATTACAATGAATCGCCTAATTGAAATTTTGTGTTTTTAACTTTTTTTAATGAAATAATTTCCGTATTGAGTGGAAAATGAAGAGATTTAAGGCACATCGGAGACCCAATATACTTTCACTTTCAATAGAATACAAAATGAAATTTAGTCTCAAAATTTATTATTAGAACTAAAGAATCAAATCTTTGATATTTTTCCTTGATTAACGTGTATAATAATTGAATAAAATTTAAATAAAAGAAGTAACACTATTCCAAATTTTCGGTTTTCTTCTTTCAACTTTTTAAAATTACGGTCTGCGTGAAAAATATTTATAAATTGTTCTCCCATTTTATGTAATTTACAATTTCATTTTCAATTCATTTTTTTTTTTTTTAGAAAGCCGCCTATATCTGTAATATATAATGTGAGAATGATTTAATCAAAAATAATAAAAACCACTTAGTAATGATTTTTATACATTCAATTAAATTATATATCCGCTAAATAGAAGAGAAAATCACTTTATTTTGTTTTGTTCGTGTTTTACAACTATTTGAAATTAAAAAGAGAAATTCAACCGTACACGGTTTGTCTATTATACACAATATTTATTATACAACACAATATTGTATATAAAGAGCGATGTATTCTACATTGAGCACAAATCTACAGGCATGTAAATTTTATAAAAGAAAATTATTTTATCGTAACACAAGTACCTAATATTTAAATTTTTTATATTTCGACGAACCCAACATCAATTATTTATCAAAACTAATTCATAAAATATTAGTCTTACCATATAATTAAATTTTAAATAAGATTGTTTTCATTTTGGGAAATAGAAATTCAAGTTAGCAATATGGTAATGAAGAAATTTTCGAGATCAACAACATAAAATTTATGAAAACAAAAATTGCAAAATTTTCAAAATCGTCTATACGGTTTAAGAGCACTGAGATTGGTACTATTACTTTTCCGCTCAAGAATTTTGTTAATGAAATCAGATTTTAGAAATGCTTAATCGGTATTCTTCAAAAAGTCCCAGGCTAGGCTGTTATCACATATAATTTGCTGGTTTTGTATATGCTGTACCATAAAATTTTAGACAGACTAAGACAGACAGTTAAAATCCAACATTTCACAACAAGTATTTATTTTTCTAATCATTTGCTAACTAAATAACAATAAAACTATATAAAATTTTTATATACACTGAAATAATTGAAATATAAACCATATATAAAGTAAGCTTTCATCTAATAAAAACGAATACTATAAAAAAATATAATGTAATGTGTGTTACGTGATATTATAAAATAACAGCTCCACAATATAACTTATGTGTTCTCTCAATATACTCAATTATATTCATATACTACTACTATAGTTTGTACATTAATGTATAAATTTAAATTTAATATAGTTATTCTACTTTCACACCATATACACATTCCACCTGTAACACATTATAAGTAACATAATAATAATAATAATAATGGGGGAGGAAGTAATAGTATAGTATCTAAACTTTCCTTAATTTTGACTAAATTAAAATCAAACCACAAAAAAATTCTAACTAATCACGTAAAATTTTAAAAGCAAATACACATACTTTCTTGTAGCGACATATATAACTGAATGAATATTGTATGTGTTAAGCAAAATTGGTATTATGTATACCGGTTGTTTTGTATAAGGCGGTAAATAATTTCAGAGATGATTCTTTTATCAATTTCCAGCAAAAACATTGTATGTGTGGGGGATGTGCAGACATATTTGTTTTCGAGCTACAGCTCATAGAAAAAAAGGTACTAGATTGTTCCAGCTTATAAATAAATGCTCATAACTTCGGAACCATGCGACATAGAATAATCGTAGTCAGCTTGTTTTACAGGAAATTGATTGTCCTTTATTTTCGGTCTTACAACCAATTTCATTTTTGCCATAGTTTTTCTAAAAGAGTTCGATCAAAATTTTAAATTTTCGATTTTTTTTTTAATTCGATATTCTCGAAAATTTTTGTTAGCTTCCGCCCCCCAGTACAATTTTTTGCTCGAAATTGGCAAAAGAATCATCCCTTGAAATTATTTGCCACCATAGGCAAAACATCCTGTATGAATAGAATAAATATTCTATGTATTGAGCAAAATTGGTGTTATATATATATGTAGAGTGAAAATAATAATGGGAAAAAAATAAAAATAATAAAAAGAAGCAAGTAAATAAATAAAAAGGGTGTCGACATTGAATATTTCAGTTCCGGAAATTTCATATTTCCTTTAAAAATCATAAAAATAGCTATACATTGTGTGAGAATTTTCATTAAATAATTATTATAACCGCAAATTTAATAATAGTTATAATATTTATAACGGTACTTTTTTTTAACTGCTTTTTTTTTTAATAATTACACTTGGTATAGCCACCGCATATAACGTGTAAGAACTCAATTTTGACAACTATACTATAAAGGAAATTTTAAAATGTTGAATTGTTAATAAATTTTACAAGTATAACCTGTCAAATAAAATGTTAATGTTATGTTAAATTTATAATAACAGGTGAGGTGTCCTTATTTCCTGCTTCTTAGCTAATTTTATTTGCGTGTTCGCGGTCTGTGAATCAAAACAAAGTTTTCCTTTTTGATTTTTTTTTATGTTTTTTGCAAAATTTATAACAGAAAAAAAAATAAATAAATAAATGTCTTTTATTTTTTAGGACTTTGAGGTCCTTTTTCTTCTCTTATACAATGTATGTAATTGGTGCCATGTAAATAAATTTATGATACAAGTTGTAAAAATGCGGATAATAATTATAAAAATATTTATGCTTTTAAGAGGATGGGGTAGACAACATAATTTGTTTCATATTGTATAATTAATTATACATAAAGTGTTTTTTGCAGAAGCAAAATGTTAAGTTAAAAATTGTATATAGCGTGATATTAAATAATAAAGAAGTAAAAAAAATATATTTCAACGGTACTTAGCGAAAAAAAAAACTCGAAATCGCACAAATCTTTTGATTTTTTTTTATTGTAACTTGACAAGTTGATTTATATATTATAAAGTATATATAGGATCTTTTAATTATTTGATTAATTGAAAGAGAGTAAAAATTTTAATATTGCTTCAGCAAAGAGAATTTTGTTTGTATAGGCCTTAAAAAATTTCTCACAATTCACAATTCAAGCAAAAACCCATCTTCGTAGAGATTTTTATACCCATATGAGCGTGTGTTCGACTTGATTTAAGAATGTCTGTCCTTTCGTCCCAACCAAAACTCAAAAACTAATTGAGCCAAGCTCATCAAATTTGCTCAAGCGATTTATGATATTAAATGCCAGAGGCATATGTAAATTGAATATGATTAAAACAATGGTTAGGGTAGCCATACAACTTCAAAAGTTACTTAATCATAACTTAGAAATTGTTAAAGCTACAGTACTGAAATTTTGCAGAAACAAATGTAATAAAATAGTCATTATTTTCGGTAAATGTTAAGGTATCATGAGCACTTTTGATAGTAACCATTAACACACAGCACTTAATATCATTCATTCGTATCGGTAATGCTAACCTAAATTTAAATATGAACCTTTTCTGAGTCGCCAACTGAGTCTATGTAGTGCCTCTATTTGTATTAGAAAATTTTAAGATCCAAAATTTAAAATAAAGACACTCAGAAAATAAACTCAGAAAATAATTTTCACTTGAAAGAAGAAATATGACTAAAGTTGAATTTAGTACAATTGTGTTAAATACTCTGGTCTTAGTTGAAAGCACGCACGTTTTATTAA